GCAATAAGACCTTGTTGAGCTCTTCTTCTGTCTCTTTCTTCGGTAATGGACAATTTGATACCCTTACCCTTTGGCAATGAGACCCATGGTTTACCGTGTTCTTCACCAATAACGAAAACGTTGTTCAATCTGGTGACGAAGGTGTTTTCCAAAGCATCCTTGATGTGGACCAAATCGAAACCTCCTTCGTGTTTTTCTCTGTGTACAATAACACCAATTCTTCCCAAGTTTCTACCACCAGTAACCATCACCAATTTACCTGTGTCGAATTTCAAGAAATCGGTAATCTTACCAGTAGCCAAGTCAATCTTGACTGAATCGTTAACCTTGATCAATGGATCTGGGTATCTGATAGTTCTACCATCGTGGGTGACAACGTATGGAATTCCCTTCTTACCCAATTGAACTTTCTTAACCTTACCCAACTTGTAGGTGGCTTCTTCAGCGGAGATTCTGTGGACTGCAAATCTACCTTTGACATCGTAGATCAATCTAAAGTTCTCGTTGGTAGCTTCCAAAGTGATGACATCCATGAAACCAGCTGGGAAAGTAGTGTCGGTTCTGACTTTACCATCAACTTGAACGTGCTGTTGCATCAAGATGGCTTTGACTTCTCTACCGTTGAGAGCATACTTCAATCTGTTTCTCAAAAAGACAATCAAAGGTAATGATTCTCTCAACTTGTGTGGACCAGCTGACGACTTTGGAGCATAGGTTCCGGACAATTTGTCCAACATCCAGTGGGATGGAGCTGCTAATCTCTTCAAATGTTTCTTTGGACCTCTACCCATGTTTGGTTACTCTTGATGTATGAAAGGTATCAGTGTAGTGAAATTTCGCTAATATTTTTTTTTTTTCTGTTTGTTTGATAATTTCGAGCGCGCAGTGTATTGAGGAAGAGGGTTACAGACCTAAACTTATTTATCCACGTGATACAGTTTTCACTTATTCCACTTGAACCAAGTGCCACCTCCATGCAGTTTCTTCACCTGTTGGTCCAATTCGCGATCTTGCTCAACCAATGTGGCTAACTCGTCCTCCAAATTAGCTGCTGTTTCCACCTCCTTTTGGTTGATTTGCAACAACTTTTGAATTTGATCTTCAATGGAGCCAGGAAGAATGTCTTTTGTCGATTCTTCCCCCATTTTTGATTCAACTCTAGTTATATCGTCTTTTAGTTTACCGATAGACTCTTGCAACTCTTGAATTTCATTGACGATTTCCGGCAAAGTCACTTTCAAATCAACCATCTTCTGCACAATATCAACGTGGTCACGATTCAAATTCGAGTATTGAAACTCCAAACTCTTTAGCGTCTTGCGAAGTTTGCCATTTTCACTGTTCAAGTGATTAATGTCCTTCAACTTCAACTTTTCGGCTTCATAGTACTTGTTAAATTGTAGCTCAAATCTGGCAAGCTCTACTGGATCAATATTGATCCTCATTGAATCGTGCACTAAATCATCCAACCTGTAGTACGAAGAGGCACCGATATGGGTAAGTGGTGCATGAGACGACTTGCGTCTGGTGAGAAAGTGTTTGAGCTTGGTTGACTTTGCATCTTCCTCAATGTCAATAAACTCGGGACTCACATAGACATTAAACAACTTGTCTTTAAGAAACTGCAACAACTTGTCAAAGTGCAAGCTCAACAAATTATCTTCATTCTGAATCATCAAGTTTACAGCAAACTTTAATATCGACTCCATACCCTGAGTGATTATGCTGTCGTATATCCTCAATACGATATTAAGTGGGAACTTGTACGCAAAAAACGTGAGAAACCATTGGCTTGCATACATTGACGCCTTGATCCCCTGTTTAACCAAGTGATTGTACAAAACAGGGGAGTACTTGGCCAATAAGCAGTCAAATTCATACAATAGCAAATGCAAACGCTTCATTCCTGGACAAAACAAATCTCTCAATTGATACTCCTTCATGAGCATGACTAGTAGGCAAAAGCACTCACTTTCAGACATATTCATAATTAATGGCACGGCAATGAAAATCATCCCTTGAGTGTACCCCACATCAGGATCATACAAGGAGTAAGCCTTGATTACGTTAAACAATGCGTCTGTTTTGTCAAATTCATCAATGTTTGTGTAGAAGCTTGTTCTCGTGAGGTCCCGCTTTATTGCCTTTTCATGAATCGAAGGTTCGACTTTCAATGAATGGTAGAAATCCTCCAAGTTTGAGTCTTTGGATTTGGTGATGATCTGCCAAATGATGCCTCTAATTTCGTTGGGTATTCCTTGATTTATTGCATTGTTGACTTGATCAGGATTCGTTTCCACAATTTCATCGTAATTTTCAACCACAGATGTCCAAAAGTCCCAGTCGATGTTGTATGGTGTACCGGCCACGCTTACTGCATTTTTAATTTGACGGAAAGTTCTTCGAATGTCTTGTGCCCCTGACTCAATTGATTGTTGTGTGTTGCTAGTCTTATCGTGAAACTTGATCGATAAGACCTTGTGTTTCGATTGAAGGAGGTAATTGGATGAAGACTTGTTATATGAGTGCAGTATTTCATCCAATTTGGACACTGTATTGGGATCAATATCGGACGTTATTGTTTCTTCATCTATGTGTAACCATGACTGAATTGGTTCTCTTGAGGGTAGTGGAGGAGACTCATTCAACGTTTCCTCGTCAGGCGTAGCAGCAGCAGCAGCAGTAGCAGCAGCAGCAGAATCAACTGCACGCACTGTCGTAGCAGCGTCGTCTGAGTAGTACCGTTCTTCATCAGACATGATTGTGCTTGACTTTGATATGGTGTTCTCCCCAACATTACACTTTTTATTTTTTTTTTGATTTTGAAAGAATCCCGTCGCGATCCGTATACCAAAACAAAAAAAATAAAAAAAAATTAAACTCAATTCATACAAAACTACAAACTAAACCCAGTGATAATCCTCGTTGACACTGATTACTTGTTGCAAAGGTACCTCAACAGGTCTGATTACATGTGGGGACAAATGATGATCCATCTCACTGGAGTCTGTGCTCAAAATGTCACTCGAGTAAGTGCTGCCACCACTATTTGTTGAGCTCAACAAGTCCACTGGTGTGGGGTTCACCCTTGCTTCACCAACTGGTACATCCGACTCCTCTTCAACAATTATACCCCCAACTATGCCCTTTTCTTGACAAAGGTTCTCCAACTTCTCTTTATCGCAATTTGGAAAGTAAACTCTAATCGTGTTGTCCACATACTTCATTGGCAACTCGCCCAATTCAAACAAATTGTGGAGATCTTGCTTAAAGCTTTGCAACTTGGTTTCGAAGCGTTGGACACTGTACATCATTTCATCAACAACTTCCTCCGACAAAAACGTTTCATTTGGAATGTTTAAACTGAAGTTTAATGGAAACGCAATAAAGCAACTGGTAAAATGGGCATTTGCTTCGATCTTTTCTTGCTTTGATGCTGATGAGTCAGTTTTGGCCAATCTGGTGACAAAGTGATGATTTTCAGCAGACAATGACAAGTTCAATCTGAGTGTCTTCAAAACTTGACCCTCTTGTGATACTGTTCCCTTGTTGTAAACTTGATACCTCTCCCGCAAGTTATTAAACAATGATCTATAAGTCTGTTTCAAATTGCGTTGATAAATCTTTAACCTGAATGGGTTTTGATAAGTTTGTGAAAAGTTGTGGTACAAAAACCCATGGTTCAATGTAGTCAATATCTTTGACTTGGAACCCAATCTCGTCACTTTTCTCAAGAAAAGGTTGTATTTTTGGAACCATGATGTGGGGTTTGCTCTTGTCCAGTTGGGGTTTGAAGAGTACGCACGAGCAGATGTACTGAACTGGCGCACAAAAGGGTTGTTGGGTCTGCTATTTCTAGCTGGCACAGGCACTGGCACCGGAGCATAAGCCGGTTGACGTTGACGTTGACGTTGCCGTTGCCGTGGTGATCCTGGTGCTCCTTCTTGACCTTGGTGCTGTTGATATTCGCGCTGTATGTTCTCACTTATCTCATTAAGGGCCCTTTGGATCCTCTTGGAGATCTCCCTTGTTCTTATTGAGATTAAGTTGGAGAACCGTTGGATGTTCATAGTGTATGTAGAATATGTACTTGGGAGGCCCCACTGGAGGAGAGGAGAAAAAGAAAAGAAAAGAAAACTGTGGTGTGAAATTCTTATCAGAAGGGGAGGAGAGACAAAAACAGAACAAAAAAAAAATAAAGAAAATGTGGTGAGGGGGGAAGGAGTCGTATCCGATAATCGGAGGGTAGCACTGAAACATGGTAGCGGTGGGTACATTTTCTTAATATTGAACGCTATACGTGTCTCTCTATTTAAAAGTCAAGCGAAAGCCAGTTGCCGCTATTGGCATTGTCCATTGGCATAATGTTTACTTCTGGTCCATAAAATTCATCCTTCTCGAGTTTCACTTTTTTATTGCTTGGAATTGTATCAAGGTCCTCATTGTTCATTGAGTTTAGACTTAGTATTGAGGAAGGTGATGTTAATAAACTGTTTTCGTTGGTGGTGAGGTAAGATGATAAGTCATTATGGAGCTTTTTTGACAGATTGTGGCTACTCAATCTAGTGGTGTTCTTGTTGAATAGTGAGTTTGGAACGGAGTTGCTGGAGGAGCAATTGGTGGGAATGTTATTCAAAAGGAAATCATCAATAATCTCTTGTTTTAGTTTCGATTTGTCAATTGAAAAGTCAAACTGGGATTCAACAGGATGTGATTTTGATTGCTGAAGTGGAAAAGTTGAAAACAATTCGTCCTCGTAGATTGGCGATTGAGCTAGCGAGTGGGGTTGGGTTGGGAACCCATAACAAGACGAGCGTTTCCTAGGTATTGACATGTTTTGGTGTTGTGGTGGAGGAGCTTGTGGAGTTGGTGGTGGTGGCGGTGCTTGTGGGGGGGTTTGTGATTGCGCCTGTGGGAGGCGCTGTTGTACCTGTTGACGTTGTTGTAATCTGTAATTGTCAAACTCTCTCTTTACGAGTTGGTCAAATTCAGTATGTGTGGAGGCCTGATTGAAATTCATCTTGCTCCCATCATTTCCCTCACTCAATCTATCCTTTGCGGGCTTTAATCGTTCTTCGAAATTGGCAAAATTGTTTAAAACGTCATCCAAGTCGTATTCTGGCAACAAGTGATGGAAAATGTCCTCCATTTTACTCAATTTTGTTTCTACTTCAGTCAAATGAGCCCTAGTCAATGGCAGTCTCACTGTTCTTGGTGAATATGAACAACACCATTTGTGTTGGATACATTTTGAGCAACGAGGGTATTCTTTGGAGCACTTGAGTTTGCGTTTTCGACAAGAATCACAAGCTTGCTCTATGATTGGGTTGGTTGAGGAGGAACTCTCGTCATTGGTGGAGACCGTGTTGTTGTTGTTGTTGTCGTTGTTGTTGTTGTTGTTATTGTTATTGTTGTTGTTGTTGTTGCACGAGGACAAGGGGTCGTTGGTGAATAACTGGCTGTTGGTGGACATATTTGTGGTCGTGAATGTAGAGCTTTTTGCAATGTTTAGTTACTGGACGCAAGTGCTATACTGAATATCGTGTAGTTACTCTGGTTAGTGGTGACAAGGTCCTTTCTGCAACGGCAACTGAAGTTCTCTGAATGGGTTTATAGCAATAGATGTAGAACGTGTGGGTTTCAACTCTATCGATGGGTATGGGAAAAGTAATGCAGTGGAAGGAAATAGATATAAAGAGAGAGAGAGAGAAAGAGAGAGAAAAGAAGAAGAAGTGAAAATGAATATTGATTTATAAACCATTTTGAAATGCTTTGAATGCGTTTATATAAATAAATATATCTGAAAAAGTTTAATGATGATATTGATGATGATGTTGTTGTTGTTGTTGGATTCGTAATAAAAGGAAAAAAAAAAGTTATAAATCTAAGATTGTGTAATTTATACAAATATGCACAATACGCCCAGTTTTGTGTACAAACAAACTAACAATACAATAGTCATAAATCCTGAAAATTTGTAACCAAGTACACGCTCTCCTCAGAGAATCATGTCATAAATGTTCTGTTGAATGTTTCATGACAACATAACCACTAGAGCTACATCTTTCATGTGTCAATCCTTAAACACGTGCGATAGCAATTCCAGTGTTATCTACTTTCAGGGTGCGATATTGCAGGATCTACATGGTATGATATTTCACCATAGCTCTTCCACTAGTAACCAACCCAACAAAAGCCACTTTCGCCAAAAAAAAAAAAAAACTAATAGCTATATCTCTCCACTGTTTGTCGCTAGAACTTACTTCCAGTGGTAGAAGAAGCCTCTTGAGTGTGTGTGGGGGGGAGAGAGGGGTTTATGATGCCTTGAGTGTATTCTGCGGTCTGGTTTCTCTCTTTACAACCTACTATCTAAGTTGTTGTTGTTGCTCCTGTTCTCAAATGGGATATGAGATAGAAAAAAAAAAAAATAAAAAGAAAAGAGGGGAAACGTTTTAATTTTTGTCGGCTGTAAAATCCGAACTTTTTGTTGAACAATAGACCATAATTTTTGTTTTTTCTCGTTTTTCTGTAATGACGATTTATCAAAATTCATGGCAATAAGAGTTACTTGTCTCCGAAATCTAAGGGTTGCTTTTCATTGCTTATGCATAATGCGCAACTCCGGTTGTACCGTAAGGAGGTTATGCCCTTTGAATGAGGGAAAGGGAAGGGGAAAGAGAAAGGGACCACACTCTTTGTTCGAAGCAGTTGAGAGATAAATTTTCGCTGAACGCCGACGCCTTTGACAAGTAAAATTACTGATTACCACACTAAGAAAACTTCGGAGTATTTTTGTGGTTGATCACGTTGTTCACTTTGTTTCCACTGTTGAGTGGGTGAATGTGTGAGTAATATATGTGAAGTATTACTAATTTTCGGAGTTTGAATTTGTGCTTCATATTTGGTTTTTTTTTTTTCTTCTTCTTCTTCTTCTATTTTGTATTCTACTGTTTGTGATAAAAGAGAAATGAAAAATTTTTCAGCTAATGAGAACGACTTTATGGTCTGTGTAATTTATTATGTTGGGAGATGCTAGTGAGGGGAAGTCTTAAATACAGGTCAATTCTTGTAAAATAAATTTTCTTTTCGACGTTGGGTTCAGCACAGACATCAACACTGCATGTAGTTGGTGCAATTGGACAGCAAGGATCTGATTAGAAAGTCCCCGCACTGATCGTGTAGAGTAAAGACCTGGCCTATAATGTGAAATAGATTGCATCTGCGTGAGTGAGTACGCCACTGTGGAAGGTTATGAAGTGCTTGCCTTTTCTTGGTAGCAAACACCCCCTAGCGAGCTAAGCACACTTGCCTCCAATAGCTACATTGTTTCTTAAAACATAACCGTTTTACGGTAACAATTGGACTTGTTAATCACGTTGTTCTTCTAGAGTAATGCATGGTCAAAGAATTTCAATAACGTGAGGAGAAATAATTTATCCGATAAACAATGCACTTAACACAAATTCAGGCAATGGGGAGGGGAAAACTTGTTAAAAAAAAATCACAAGTTTTTCCGAAACGCAGTACTGGTGCGTTTTAGTTGACTTTTTTTTTAGTCCGTTTCATGTTGTTGTTTTTTTCACCAGAACAAACGTTTCTTAGAAGAAACAGACTGATTCACACAACTCTTGAGTGGGGAGACAAAACGTTTGTAGCCTCTACTGGGTAGTGCAAGGTTTTGAATTGAGACTGTCTGCATTTGGAAACAGAAGAGATGCCCTTTAATCTGAGCATTATATTTTACTTCGTAGATCGAAGACCTTTTGTTTGGCAAAACAGACCTCGTGGCTGTTGCGTGTGGGCAATATAATTATCAGGTTGAATGCGAGCTTCAGAAGTAACGCGTCTTGGAGAGTTCATTCAGTTAACTTCTTTTTTTCTTTTTTTCTTTTTCTTTTTCTTTTTCTTTTTCTTTTTCTTTTTGCTCAAATTTGATGCCAAAATATACAGGATCTTAACATTGTTTCTGGAGTAAAAGGATTGCATACCTCTTGTAGAAGGGTTGTCTGCTATTTTTACGGCAACTCATATCCCAAAAATTCACCGGTCACATAGCCAGTGTGTGATATGAGGAGGATTACGCGAGAGATAGAGAGGCTACCTACAAATGATGTAGTTTCAAAAGGTCTTCAAGCACAACCAAGAGAAAATATGTCACTTCTATAATTTGAGTTTTCAAAGGTAATGTAACAGGAAAGCACGGATGAACCACTCACTAAGAAACAAATTAAGTTCTCGTTTATATGAGACTCTTCTCTGGTCTCGCTGTATGATAATCCGATTTGGAAAAATCATCTCGTTTTCTGAGTAGTTACTTATACTTCGTATGTAACACAAAGATAAGAAGTTTTTTTTTTTTCTTCGTCTTCTCTTTTGTTTTGTTCGGCGTTTCAAATGGTATCAAATGCCGTAGTGGACGATAGGGGGAGGTAATACCATACTCTATAGATACGTGGCTTAATTAGTACTTGAATCTCGATCAAGACTGGCTTATTCAGTATATTGCTTAATGATACTTCATATAGTAAAGGATTACTAGCGTCAACTATTATTCATACAGGGTGTATTTAAAGTTTTAGTCAGCGCACGACCCAAAAAATCATAAAAAAATAAAATTCTATTTTTAATTTCTTTTTTTTTTTTTTCTTTGGTGAATCTCTTTGTTGTGGTGTGTGGTGTGTGGATTTGACGAGATTGTCGAGAGAAGTAAGAGAGAACTTTAAAAAAAAAAAAAAACAAGAAAAAACAAAAAGTGGATCGAGGAACGACGAAAATGGGAAGTACTAACAATAAAGACTTGCAAAATTAAATTACAGTGACAAAAAAGATGCGTATGAAAAAGGAGTAAAACGGTGCTGTAAGGGACAGGGACAGGCAGGGGGGCCACAATAAATCACATGTAAAGAGAGCGATTAGTTTAATAAGATCATAAAAAGAGGAGAAATCACAATAGAGTAATTTGACAGCTGCAAGGATGGAGTTGGTGATTGTACCGAGGTATCTCTTGCCTCTTGTCTAAAACGATATAGAGTTCAACTTCTTCTCCAGACAACATTAAAAACATGAAACACGAATTAATTGTGTGTTTTATTTGCTCATATAGGGTACCTGAAGTTGGCCATGCACGCCCCGCAATCGGTGATTAGAAAAGATATAGCGCTCTACACTACCGCCTGATGGAGACGCTTTTATCTTTCTAGACCTGGTATGCGTGTGTGCGTGTGTGTATGAGTATGTGTGTGTGTGTGCCCCCACATTCTCCTCAATATTCCCAAAGGGGTTGTGTGCAGTGTAGAAGTGATATATGTTACATGTAAAGCTGCTAAAGGTCATCTCGGATAAAATTTGAAAATTTCTTTTTTTTTTTTTTTTTTTTTTTTTTTTTTTTTTTTTTTTTTTTTANTGTGTGTGCCCCCACATTCTCCTCAATATTCCCAAAGGGGTTGTGTGCAGTGTAGAAGTGATATATGTTACATGTAAAGCTGCTAAAGGTCATCTCGGATAAAATTTGAAAATTTTTTTTTTTTTTTTTTTTTTTTTTCTGCATTGTTACACCTTGTTTTTATTTTTATTTTTTTTCTTCTTCCCCATACTTTGCAGAAAAAGAAAAGAGATTTTTTGGGCGGGGGGTGGCGACGGTGTGTGAGGGGAAACTGAATTGTTGAGGAGTCAAAGAAAACAACTTAAGGCAATGGGTGTGACTGAATGTATAGAGAGGAGGAAAAAGGAACGGAAAGAACGGAAAGAGCATGTACCTTAGTATCTCAATGCATACATAGATAACGGGGTGGAAGATGAAAATGTGGGATGGTATGATCCCCGGGTGAAATCGTAATAAGAAAACAAAGAAATGAAGTCGGAAAAACTCCAAATAATCATACACACATATACACCACACAGAGAAAATGAAAATAAAAAAATTAGTTTTTTTTTCTCTCTGTTTTTATATGGAGAGAAAATAAATAAAAAAAAAAACAACAACAAGGAGACTAACAGTAAGAGAGATGTTTGTTGTTGTTAAGAATCTCTTTGTTTTTTTTTTATTTATTTATTTTTTTTATTTTCTTCTTAGTCCATAATAGATTTACTTTTTCTTCTACTTCTTCTTCTTCTTCTTTTTTTTTTTTTTTTNTCATTCAACAGACATCATCAACTGTCGCTTTCTATACCAAGACTGTTACTACTACTACTACTACTACTGCTACTACTACTTCTGCACATATTCAAACTAGTCAAAAGACATATATACCCCACAAACACACACATAATGAGTAGTCTTATTTCCCCAGAACAGCAACAACAGGCGAGCCACAATCAAATTTCCCCTCATTCGCTGGAATTGCTTCCCCCACACCACACACAACAACACACACAGGATAACAAAACACACACTGCTGACTCAGCTAACAACAACAATAACAATATCAACAGCACCAGCACCAGTACCACCAGTAGTAGTAGTGCAAGCTCTAAGAACAAGCGTGACAGTTCCACCAGACCTTATAAATGTCCCCACTGCGAGAAAGCTTTCCACAGACTAGAACACCAAACAAGACACATACGTACCCACACTGGTGAAAAGCCTCATGTGTGCAAGTTCCCTGGTTGTACAAAGAAGTTTAGCAGATCCGACGAACTAACTAGACATTTGCGTATCCACACCAACCCAAACTCTAGAAAAAACAAAAAGAATGAAAAGGTTAAAAATGAGATTGTTTTCAAGAATACAACGTCCCCCGCCGGTACAAATGAGGTTAAACAGCTGCAACTGGTTGACTTCAATGGTTCATCCACCTCTACAAGAGGTAGAAAAAAGAATACTGTTGACAAAATGGCCGCAGCTTCGCCACCGTCGTCACCAGGAAGTTCAACAACGTCTGCAAATAACAATATGGACATAGATTCGGTACCTTCACATGAGACCAGCGGACAAATATTCTCTGAGCAGACGCTTACTCCAACGGCCACACCTAATTTCAAGAGTGAGCTTGATGCTCCTGTGTCTGTGTCTGTGTCTGCGTCTGCTGCTGCGTCTGCTGCTACCGCTGCAACCATCACCCCACAAAGCACATCAAGCACTTCGGGTTCTCAAGAATCTCTCACTATAAACAAGAACCTTTCTAGTATAGACATACTAGCACTGGCGGCTACCCAAGAACTAGCTAGTATAGAACTATCCAAATCACTCCCATCACTTGTTGATCATTTTCACAGCAGCAACAACGGCAACAACTCGCAGAAACCTCAGAGTACCGAATTCAAATTCTCACCACCAAAACAACTACTGCTGCAGCACTTGAACTCGGAGTTTAGCCAGGAGAAGCCATCTTTCCACTTCCATGACACGGGAAACTTGACCTATTTGTCAAACGTAGCAAGCAGGTTTTCAGGTATTCCCAGAATGACACCACTTGAACAGCCACAGCCACAGCCACAGCCACAACTACAATCGCAATCTCAATCTCAACCACACACCAGTCGGAAGCAACACATCTCTCAAGACTCAGACATTGACTACTTGAAGCAAAAACTCAAGAAATCAAGACCAAATAGCCCCAAGTTTTACCAATACGGCAGCAAGTTTAACACCAGCCATGGTAATCACTACACCATGCCAAATTCTCCTGTTCTTGGCTTGTCAACCAGCACAACTCCACTAATGTCTGCAAGTAATAGTTTTACAAATTTATCACTGTTGGCAATGACTCCAGCAACAACTAATACTACCGGTAAAAGTAGCAGTGGCGGCAGTAGTGGTATCCCGCTTCCACATCAACTCCAGCCCAGCACGCCTAACTCAAAAACTACATTCAGCATTCCTAAAATGTCGCCTTCTTCATCCGAGGCATTACCGAGTCTCAAGAGTTTGAACCTACCTATAGGCGAATTATAAGGCTGTGAATATGTAAATAAATTAATACTGTGTCTATAATCTTTATATACCAACGGACCAAATTTCTTTCTCGTCTTCGATCCGATCACTAAACAAAGTCTCTTCGTCACCACCTTGTTCGATACGCTCTCTCTCAACATTTGCTAACCGAACAGCAACTCTCTTTGTGTAGTCGCCTACGGATCTAGGCACAATTGTGGCTCCAGTGACTGTACTAATCTCGGTCCTACCATTGAACCACTCGTCAAAAACCTTCAACTCCAGATCAACAACGGAGAACACTTCCAAATACGCCTTTTCAGCGGCCAATTTGATCGGAATTATCGGATCACGAACTGAGCTAAACACACTAGGGACAAGGAAGTCGAGATACTCGTAAGGGATGGCCCTTTTATGAGCAGCAGTCCTAATCACAATCAATGACAACCTTCTTGTATCTGGAGATGCCGAGTTGGGCTGAATAGCGTTCTTGGCCAATTGTTTGTACAATGATTCATCACTCACACCACTGAGAACCAATTTACCAATGGCAATTGTGGCATTGTCAGTAATATATGGATTGGTGGAGTCAGAACAAGCGGCAACAAAGTCGACAACTTCGTGATTGCCCTTCACTAACTCTGGAGCATACTTCAAAAATGCATTTATGGCCAAGATTGAAAACTTGCTTTGCGAATTGAGGACCTTTTTCTGCAACAAAACTGTTGTCTCCTCGGGTGTCAAAACATTGGCCAAAGAACCCAACAACTTGGCAGAAGAGACCGAGTCAATGCTCTCCTCTTCAACCACCGATAGCAAACTCGTTTTTGACGCTTCATTCAACTCCTTACCCTTCAACTCAACCACGGCCAACATTCCTTGCAACATCGACGCCTTGACTCCGGAATCATCAGTGGATTTGGAGTTTGTCACCAACTCGGTAATCAAAGAGTCAACCCTTGGCTGGTGTTTGATCAATGTCGATAACGCCACAACTGCACGTTTTCTCAATGTATCGTTTGAAACATCGCTCAACGAACGCACAAAAGTTCTTTGCAATTGCGGGATGAATGGTCTCAAGAATTGAGGAATCTTGACCAACAAGTTGTTCAATGCCACAAGAATGGCCGACTTGATGTTGGAAGCCACTTTTTCACCAATGACTCTAATCAAAGGACCAGTCAATGTTGTTGCCAAAGTACGCAAGTTTTCTGATGGCGTCTTTTCTATGATATCAGCTATAGCCAACGCTGACAATTCACGTTGATCAGAAGACCCGTACATCAACCCGTGCAAAAATACGGGGAGGATAGAGTTGGGCCCCTTTGGCAAGGCAAATGCGTGTACTGCGGCACCGGTTAATCTGAGTGCTTGGTACGATGGCTTGACCAATTTTTCCAACAACTCCTTTGGTTGTTGTTTGATTAAAACTGTTAGCGACTCCATTGAAGCCTTGACCACTTTTGGTGATGGATCTGCCAAGGAAAGAATCATTTGGTAAACAATATCCTCAAGGTACATTGAGTAGTCCAATGTGGCATGTTCGAAAAAGTCCTTAGTTTGGGCAAAAATGACTTCTCTGATTTGTGGATCCTCATGCTTCATCAATGCCAATAGTTGTTGCATCAACAAATGCGCTCCATCATCTTCAACCGATAACAAGACTTGGTTAAACTCTTCTGAAATTTCGTCGCCAGCAATGATTGAAGCTATCAATGTGTTCAAAATGGTTGACAATCTCTTGTACAATGCAGTACCTGCAACCGATGCCAACGAGGCCAAAGCCACTGCATCAACAGGTGGCTCCAACAATGAAGGCAACGTGATGGGGAAAATGATTTCTGATTTTGAAGCCATTAATTCCTTCAATGCGAGTAAAGATGCCGAAGAGTTGCCCAATTCCGACAACAACTGTGGGATAATTTCATCAATAACCACTTTGCCAATTTGCTCGTATAATTGTTCAAATGCTTGTGCGGCAGCGTTTCTAGTAGGCTTGTCCTGCGTGATAAGACCATCGTAAATGATGCTGATAAATGTATCCTTGTAAGTGGTGAGTCCTTCCAATGAAGTGGATTTGATCAACTCTGTCAACGCAATACAAGCACCTTCTTGGTCCTTGGCATCTTTCAATGATGGCAACAATTGTGGCAATGCATTGGCACCGACACGACGCACCATATCACCCAAAGTTTGAGCAGCAATTGTCCTTTGTGTTTCATCATCGGATGCCAATTTTTGTACAATCAATGATGCCAAAGTGGGCAAAATCTCCTTAACTGTTCTTGGAGTGTTGGCAACAAGCGCTTTCCAAATATCGGCGCTAGCATTTCTAACCATACCTGCAACATCGGAACGACAAACAAACAAGGCTGCCAAGATACGGTCACGACGTTCTTGACCCAAGACTTGTGCAAGTGTTTTGCTAACCATTTGATCTTCAACAAGTTCGTTTTTGCCAGAAAGTCCAGTGATTTGGAATAACAAGTCTCCGGTAAGTTCCAATGAAGAAAGACGGATACGGTATGATTCATTGGACAATCCTGCTTCCAATTCTGGCAACAACAAATCAACAGCCTTTTTGGCGTAATTCTTAACAATCAATCTACCTGCCCTCAATGCAGTTTCTCTAATCTCTTCATCTTGGTCAGCCAATCCATTCAATATTGGAGGAATGATACGATTCAAGTAAGGAGCAAACTGAGAACCAAAGCAAACAGGCAAGAAAAGCAAAAGCGGCATAAACCCGGCCCTGACTGCCGCGCGGGGTGACGATGCCGAAGAAATAATGGATGGCAAAAGCTCTTCCAACTTGTTTGTACCAAGTCCACATACAACCTCCGATAATGCTTGTGCCGAACCAAGACGATCCCCGGCTTTCGACTCGTCTTGTAAAGTAGCAATCAATTTTGGAATCAAGCCAGGGAATTGCTCCTCGCCTAGCTTCTCAACCAACGAACCCAATGCTCTGGCTGCCGTTGATCTCGTGGCTGGTACTGGGTCAACCATGGCAGTCTCCAACTCTTCCACCAACTCGTTCAAGTACGGTTGCAAGTCTTTTGAGTCAACCAAAATGGCCATATTACCCACAATCTGACAAGCTTTCTTCTTTGTGGAGGCCGACCTGTCCTTCATTGCACGATGGATGACATGGATGATCAATGCCAACGACGAGCTGTCGATGTAATGCACAAACTGGGTCTTTGTTAATTTGTCCAATGCTTCGTCCAAATGCTTGGTTGGGTCGCCGATGGCGTTTATCAAGTAAGGCACAATTTGTTGAATCTCGGGATTTCTGATAACTTCACCGAACCGTTTGAGCGATTGCTCGGCCGCTTTTCTAACTTCCTTGTGTGTGTCATTCAATACACCAACGATTTCAGGAATGATGATTGACAACGATGCTGACAATTGCTCTGGGTCAAGATAAGCCATAGCACCAAGCAACTCGACTGACCCCTTTTTCGATCTCCATGCCGTTTCATCAAGGTTGGAAATGGCCAAGGGAATGAGTTTTTTAACACCGAATGATGTAGTGTTTTTCATGATCTCCTTTGCTGCATTATCAGTGGCAACTCTAACCTCGCCCAGCATATCACCAAGACTTTTCAAAATGATTGGCAAAATTTCAAACACAAATGGCTCAAAAAATTTCCCCAAACTCTTGGACAAACTTTCAAATACTAGCGAAACACTTTCTCTTTTGATTGCATCTTTTTTATCATCAGAGGCGTCGGTTAAAGTTCTAATGACATCGTAGTCTGACAATGCACGGACACCGTCACCTTTAACTAAACCAGCAATACCAAATGCGGCACCACGACGCTTGGCAAGGGTTTTGCCAGTAAACAAAGTGTTAAATAGAGACTCAAAGTATCCCGGAAGTTCGTCTTTAAAAGATGGCACCAAAGGTGCAATACACTCGGACACGGCAAACTGGACATTTGGCGTATCCAACGATTTCATCAAACGATCAAAAATCACCTGCAAACGGCCATCTGTTGATTTCAAGTGACGTGCCAATGTGCCGTACAACACAACAATGGGCTCTTTGATATTCTTTGCTTGTAAGCTTTCTTCAAAGATTCTAATCAATGCCTCAACATTCTTTGCTCCGTGGACTTCAATGGCAGCAACACTGGCATCTTGATACTGCTGGCGCACATTCTGATCCTTATCGCCCAAGGCTTCTTGTACAAGGAACTTGAAAAGCTTTTCAACGTCGGACTCAGATAAATGTGGTACAAGAAACTTGAGTGCAAGGGCAATGGTGGATCTCTCCTCCCATCTGTCTCTTTGATCAATCGTCGACTTTATAACAAGACCAAACTCGTCCAATTTTGGTGCTGGTGGGTTCTTTTTTTCAATGTAAAAGTTGAACAATTCTTCCAAGTTGGGGTGAGTTTGTATCGAGGCGTCTCTGTATGCTTGCGCCACTGATAACCGCAACCCAGCGTCTTGTAAACCAAACAATGCAAGCAAGTTTGTTGTATCAGCAACACTCAATGAGTTGTCCTCCCAGATTGTTTGCGCTAACTCTCGGCAATTGTTGTCGGTGTCGTAAGTCTCAACATAAACTTCCTTTGAGTATTCGGTTAGTTCAAATTCGGAATCCAATCCTTCCAAGATGGTTGACCTGACAAACACATGTGGAGATACCACATTTTCCAACAACAACTGTAAATCCTCTTGAGATATGTTTACGGCAATGTACTGGCACAACGAAAGAAAGCATTCCTTCACCAACTTGGCTTTGGATGGAACCGCCATGAGGCTGACCAAAATCGTCAAAATGCTAGTTCTTGGGATACCTGCATCAGCAAACAATTCAGCGTGAGCAGATATAATTTCCACACCCAAAAGTAAATGCTCTTCTTCCGGGTCATTCTCAACAAACTCCGAGGTGACTGCAATTTTCTTTGAGTTTTTGAAAGCGGCCGTTTGTCCAATTTGCAAAACTTTGATCAATAATGGAAGGACATAGGCTAGGGAAACAGCATCCAAGGGGTTTTGATCGCTCAATATCTTGACACGGTATAATATTCTGCCAAGAAGTGATTCCAATGGCTCCTCTTCGTATTGCAGTTCCACCTTGACTCCATACAATCGTAAAGTTGCCACACCAACAAATTTTTTCAAAATTTCAAATCTTGGGGAGATCAAGGTGGAGAGGTTGATAAATGAGGATGCGCTATTGAAGAAATCGCCTTCTGAAATGGCCAAGTCAAGCAACTTTTTCACGCTTGTTGGAAGCCAGGATTCGGCACCATTGTTGACTACGCTGGCCTGCGCAGCTAGCTCGTCAATCAATCCAATGGCAAAATTCACTCTTGCGACTGTGCTGCTAATTTCACTTCTAATCTTCGACTCCTTGGCAATTTGCTCCGCAACGAGCTTCTTTTCTTCAGGTGTCAATTTTTTGGCCTGTTTCAATTCTTTCCCAATCGACTCTTCCCAAGCTCTGATTTCGTAGTCCCTGGCATTCTTGTCCAACGCCTTGGGTTTCTTTGCAGTGACATCAATCACCATTTCCCCCTCTTTTCCATAATAGATGGCTTTGCACACCTCGTCTATGTGCTCAACAGTCAAACTTTCATCGATAAATTTAGTGATTGTCCCTGCTAAGTTTGGTTGGACAAACGCGGTAATGGCAAGGGCTTTTATTGAGTTTGGGGTTTGTTGAGATACACAATCGGTAAAGATCTGTTCGTAGTTGTGTTTGACCAATGTCCCAATGTCAATCTTGTGTCCACTTCTTTGTACAAGCCCGATCCAGCCGCCATTTATGCGGATTTTTGGGTCATTTGCCACAATGATTAATCTCACGGCGTTTGATTTCGCTTGATCAGTTGATTTCACTTGAGTTAAGATGGAAAATACGACACTAAGATCTCTCGGATTATGTGTTTCCGTGTCTAGCACGTATGCCTCGTCAATGATGCCATCACTCAACGACAAGTTGACCTCGATCTCCTGTTTGAACCGTTCTTGTGCGTGTTTCTTTACGCTGTAGGGAACCTTCTTTCCGGTGAGCACATACAACCATCCTCTAGGGTGGTTGTACAAATCTTTTACAAACCAGTACAAGTCGGTGGCGTCCAATTTCTCGAAAATCTTTGTCTCATCAAGCAAGGAGGAGTCCTTGTGGGTGAGTGCTAGTACCACAAACGCGCACGCAATGTTTTTGATGTTTGCCGCTGGTGATTTTTCAATTTCAGACAACGTTTCAGTAAAGACGGCATCAAAGTCTGGTTGTTGTTTACCTAAGGCGTGTTTCCCATACTCGACAAACCACACGCGTTTGAACTTTGACTTGAATCCGGTAGCGAATGCTTTGACTACATTGTCGTCAAATTTGTCTGATTTAAAAGTGTGGTATGCAAAGACGTCAACCAAGCTGCTCAACGACATCTCATTTTGTTCTTTTGCCACTAGAGGAAGTAACGCGTCTATCACCTTTTCAGAAGCAGTGGATCTGATGAGACTTTTTATCAACAATGATTTTGATTCTGCATTTGTTGTTGTTTTTATGGCTTTGATTATCTCGTCAGAAATGTCTTCTTTTGAATTTGCAATCACCAACTCCAATGTTTCAAATGCACCTACCCTAACGTGCTCTTTCTGGGACTTGATTCCGGATATGATTGAAGATAAGAGCTTTTGCGATGGTGTAATTTTTACCTGTAGATGCTTGAAGAATATGGGAAGCACTATGCCAAAAGAGTTTTCCGAAGACCTAAGGATAGCCTTTTCAATCGCTGGAAGCAAAAGCGAGGCAAAGTTTTCCTCGTTGACCAATGTCTCCACGCACAGACCAAATTGTTCAACTTCAAACTTAGAAGGAGACTTTTTTCCTAACAAGACCAAGTTGATAAATATATTCAATACCTTTGCGTCATTGCCCTTCAACCTTTCAAGTATGGATGGCTTCTTTGGTACGAGCTCGTTTGCTGCAGTGTTCAACACGCCAAACAAAGCAAAACATTCCTCATCAATTACAAGATCCATATATGTGTCATCTTCGAGTAGTGTATTGGCAATGCTTGTTTTCGTTGCCGTGACGGCAGACTTTGTAACTCTATCCAAATGTCTGGTTGACTTGGTTTCATGTTCGGTGCACTTGACAAATAGCTTGGCTTGAAGCGTGACACACTCTCCACCGAGACTCTTTTTTCTTGCTAGCTCTATGTTGAATGTGTTTATCCATTGAAGGAGAGTCAAGTAGTCCGTGATGGCCAAGGTTGTCCCTGAAGTCTCTTTTGCGATGAAATTCACATAATATGGCAAGAATTTCTCCTCTGTCGTGCATATCCTGAGCAATGCATTTAGCACGGCATTTCTCGAGTCGGTGTCTTGGTAAAAGTTGTATGTGCTGAGCAACGCATTTGCAACAGCTTGCAACTCAATCTTTTCAATGACATCCAAATTCAGCTCAATTGATTTCAAAGTGCCGAGCCTTTCTTTTAAGGATGAGCTTTTGAGACCCTTCTCATAAACAGGCCTCAACTGTTCCCACTCGACGATTTCCAGCATATAAATTGCTCTGTTGAAAGTGAAAAGTGGAAAACAGAAGAAGATTGAAAAAAAAAAACAATAAAAAAAAAAAAAATAAAAAAAGAAGATTGCACTGTTATAAATCAGTGAGAGAAAAAATTTTTTTTTTTTTTTTTGCTTTCTTTTCCTCTCCTTCTTTTCTCTTCTTTATCAACTATAACAGTCGATGAGGAAAGGTAAAGGTCCGTTGCAGCAATGGGTTACGGCTGTGTACTGGTTTCTGCCAGGGCATGGCTGGCAACTCGACTCGACGTACGTTGGGCGCTGTGGAGAACATCACGAACCCATTATATCACCACACAATACAATAAGTGATTTGTCTATACAATCTGAGGCTGTTGTTGATGTGTCAAAAGAGGGGTTTGGCTTAATAAATATCTCTCATTCTATTTGTACATACGTGTCTTCTTTTTTTTTTCTTTTTTTTCTTTTTTTTCTATCTAATCACCATGCTTGAAACAGCACCGGTTGCCGTACCTGCAGCTTCCATGTTTTGCCCAATTGGCGCACGGTTTTGATCTCCATTTTGGTGGTCGCTCAATGTGCTTCAATTCTGCTTCTCCGTGTGCAAACTGGCACTTGAGACCGTAAGGGCAGCACCCTGTCTTCATAAATGGTCCACACAATTCTGTCTTGTATAATTGAGTGTTTACTGATTTCGTCTTGGGGGGCTGGTATGGAGGGGAGCTGCGTGGGACTTCATTGTCTCGTGAATGTGTTTGTTGTGGGTCATGAACGACGACCAGTGGCTTTTGTAAGGTCCATGTTGGTTGGCAAATGGATGATTGCGAGGAAGGGTTATGCCATAGTGGAGAGGTGCTCTGTATGGGCAGGTGCTTTTGAGAAATTGCGCTCACCTCGGGAAACACTACTGTACCCCGAACATCATTGAACGGTGAAAATTGTGTATTGCCCCGGAAGGGGCTGAAGCAAGGCGAGTGTAGTTGTGGTTGTAACTGTTGCAATTGTGGTTGTGGTTGTTCGTGTAATTGCAGTTGTGGCCGTTTGGAGAATGTAAAAGCGCTTGAATAGTCAGACTCTACTGACTCGTTGGATGAAATTTGCCAAAGATCTGGTAGTAAGTCTCCCGAGCTGAAATCGACTATTGAATTTGATGACGAAACTGAGGAAAGTGATGGTACCCTCTTGTGTTCTGGGCTGTATGTGTTGAATGTAGAAGCACTAGCAAACATCGTTTGAGCAATCGCGTTAACTAAGGCCTCCCAGTTGGCGTGGTGTTTGACGTTATTTTGATATGTATTTATAATCTCAAGGCATCCACAGTAAAGAGGAAGAAGAAGAAGAAGAAGAAGAAGAAAAAAAAAAGCACGACATTACACAAAGGAGGAGTTTTTAAGAAAGTGTATTTTCCCCTCCTTCTTTGCAGAATAATCGGGGGGGGTAGCTAAAATATATCTGCCCTGGTCATTCCTGATGCATCGTTTCTACTGACCATCCCTAGTGGCCAGTCACAGGTTACAGCCACACCTGTGCTACACACACACACACACACCCACTCCATCCACACTCGCTATTGCGTTCTCTTTTTTTTTTGTTTTATGCGTTTTCCGATATGGACTTCTATTGTTGTGAAGAATGCGTTTGTGTAACTCTTGTCTGTTGTGCCGTTTACTTCATTTCTCTCGTTCTCTATGTCTCTTCTGTTTTTCTGTATGTCTTTTATTTGTTTTTTCTCTCCTCCCTCGGATTATCTCGTTAGTGGTTACATTTTTTTTTCAGCCAATAGAATTTCGTATACTCAATTAACATATTTGCTGTGTAACCTCCACATTGGTTGCCAAAAGTAGTTCCTTAAGGAGGTTCTCTACACTCTTTCCAATGACAAGTGTTCTTGGCTACTATCTTTTTTACCTGACTACTTGTATTATTCTCCATTTTTTATTTTGAGTTCTCCGCTTCTGTATGAAAACAAAATTTCCCCTCCCGTTTAACTGCTCCCCCTTTTATCGTTTCTGCAGTGTCACGTGAACAAACACCTCATTATTCACGTGTTTCGGGGATACACTTCCGAGTGCGTATCCAAATCAAGATGGATAAAAAAAAAAAAATAACAAATTAAAATAAACAATCCATTGGCTGCCACACGTCCTCTGCCCCCATTTCCATGATCAAAGCGAATAATCTCGAAGAGCAGCTTGAATGGCTCCGGCAAACAAAGCCAAACCTACCGTGTCCTCGTGTTATTTCTGCAGCACTCAAGAGGTACCCGAAAGATAAGACATCGGCATCGATACCAACGCGTCAGGAACAGCAGCAACGACCGGGCATATCTGATCCATTGCATGAAGACGTATCCATAATAGGCGACTATGTTGTCACTACCTTCTCACCTGAGAGCGACAAGGAGAATGTACCACCACCAGCACCTCCGTCGCGACCTCGACCAAGTCAACATGACCTAGATTCATCATTCAACTCGTCATTCAACGCGTCTTCTTCTGCATCGGTAGTACTGCAGTCACTCACGCAGCAGAATCGAGGGACAGCTGGCAAATCCAGGAAAACACAATCAAAACTACCGTTGGGGTCAAAGTTTTTCAAACCACTGGCAAGTAACCCGTCTGTGCGAAGTCAATCCAGCCCCGAGAATGTGATTGACTTGACACTCGACAATGACTCTCCTAGAAAGCGACCTGCAGAGGATGAAAATTCTGCACCAAGCAAAAGAGCCAAGCCGGATAATGCAGAGCGGTATTTGGAACTAATACGATTACAAGAATCCAAGATCAAACTACTAGAAGAGAAATTTGTCATTAGCGAATCTACTTCAATATCTTTGGATCAGAAAAAGGAGCACTATGTCGAATTGCAGGCCAAAATTACTTCTTTGGATCATTTGATTGCCAAGTTGAGAGACGTGACCAAGGAGGTTGCACTGACGCAGCCTGAAGTGACGGAAGAGATCGAGGACACCACTAGTGAAGCTCAAGTGTTTAGAGCTCCCGCCAGACCTACTAGAATTGCCGAAGCAAGAGAAATTGTTTCAAATATGGGTGATGATGACATTTTGGATATAGAAGATGACTTTGGCAATAACACCATGGAGGGGTTGAGAACACCAACACAGGAGCGAGACGATGTTGATGATTTGGGAAGCTTTATAGACGACGCATCCATACCCAATTCACCTTCAAATGATGAATTCTCAGACGACGAAGGTTCAGGGGTGATTGAGAGTCAAGAGGTGCATAATCTTCGATTGTCGCCTGATGTTGCGGAAAAGTATGGCATTCGATATGATGAATCTGTGCCTCCTAGTCCAATCAATGGAAACCTCGACAATGATTACGTGGAAGATATTGAATTTTCGACCCAGCTCAATCAGGAACGAGAAATTGATGTTATTGAGCTCTCTGACTCAGACGAGGATATCGAGTTGGCTGATAACACTGCACTTGGCGATATGCCATTACCTGCACGCAGTATGCTTAGCTCGTCTGATTCGAACTCCAATGCAAATCAGCCACCACTTATAAACATGGAGAGTGAAGATGATTTTAGTGATGAGGATGAGGAGATTATGAAAATCATCAATGCCCCCAAGCCAACGTCGCGAATAATTCCAGAAGGGTCCGAAGACTTTATTGACGAAGTGTACGACACGCTAAACAAAGTATTCAAGCTACAATCTTTCCGCCCTAATCAGTTGGAAGCTGTTGTTGCGTCACTCTTGAATAAAGATGTCTTTGTTTTAATGCCCACGGGAGGAGGGAAATCTCTTTGTTACCAACTTCCAGCGCTAATCAAAGGCGGCCATAGCAAGGGCACAACCGTTGTGATATCGCCGTTGATATCGTTAATGCAGGACCAAGTGCAACATCTCATTCACAAAAACATCAAGGCTGGTATGATAAGCTCAAAAGCAAATAGCGATGATAACAAGCACACGCTAAACCTCTTTCGTGAGGGATTTCTCGACATTGTATACTTGTCACCAGAAAAAGCCAACAAATCAACAATGATTCAAAAGATTATTGGCAAATTGTACGAGCGCAACCAGCTAGCACGTGTTGTGATTGATGAAGCGCATTGTTTAAGCTCTTGGGGTCACGATTTTCGTCCAGATTACAAGGGGATGGGGTTTTTCAAAGAGAGGTTCCCGAGGGTGCCCATAATGGCGTTAACGGCCACTGCTAATGAAAAAGTGCGGATGGATATTGTCCATCACTTGAAGATGGACTCACCGGTGTATCTCAAACAAAGCTTCAACCGAACCAACTTGTACTACGAAATTAGGTGGAAGAGTGGGAACTACCTTGAGTCCATCAAGGACTACATATTATCGCGGTACAAGAACAAGTGTGGGATTATATACTGCCACTCAAAACAATCGTGTGAGCAGACCAGTGCCAAGTTGAATGAGTTTGGTTTGAAAACATCGTTTTACCATGCAGGAATGACCCCTGAAGACCGTTTCAAGATACAAACCAACTGGCAAAAGAACAAGATTCAGTTGATTTGTGCAACTATTGCTTTTGGTATGGGAATCGATAAACCTGACGTCAGATTTGTCATTCATTTATTTATTCCCAGAAGCTTGGAAGGGTACTATCAAGAGACCGGAAGAGCAGGGCGTGATGGCAAACCATCAGAGTGTATCATGTACTACTGCTATAAAGATGCAAGGTCGTTGCAAAACATGATTCACCGCGATGCTGACTTGACTGAGGAAGGAAAAGAGAACCACTTGGCAAAATTGAGACAAGTTGTGCAGTACTGTGAAAACACCACCGATTGCAGACGGAAACAGGTTTTGCATTATTTCAATGAAACATTCAACCCCGTCAATTGCAAGAAGCAGTGTGACAATTGCAAAAACTACAATCATGTAACGGTTGTTGAGAAGGATTGTACGCTTTACGCCCAAGATATTCTAAAGCTAGTCAAGTCGATTCAATCTGAAAAAGTGACTGTCTTGCATTGCCAGGATGTGTTTCGAGGCCTCAAGTACAGTAAAATCACCAAAATGGGTCACAACAATAACCCTTACCATGGGAAAGGGAAGAGCTTGGACAAAACAGATGTTGAGAGAATCTTTTTCTACTTGCTCAGTGAGGAGTGTTTGGTTGAGTACCAAGTGATGAAAGGTGGGTTTGCTTCAAATTATGTTAGAGTGGGCAGAAACTCGACTAAAGTGTTGAATGGCAGAAAAACAATCAAGATTCAATTTAGCTCAAGTCTGTAGTTGGTCTATAGCTATATATTATCATCGTGATACACGAAATTTGTCCTTTTGGGATCCCTTGGTGCGCCTTTGACGTACTGGGCGTCATCTGGTGGTCTCTCTGCAAGTTGATTGGAATGCAACATGCTTTGGATACTGAGTAGTATGCTTTCTATAGAACACGCAGGTGTCCAATCTTCTCCGAGTAGGTTGAGACAAATATGACCATTTGAGTAAATGTGCGGGTGTAATGGGATTGGTGATGATGCGTAGTTGATAAAAACAACGGAAGGTGAGTCAACGGGGTAATCGTCGGTGATGGTCACTTGGAGGTAGTAGTCGTCTGGATAGAGCTCATGGTTGTCGATATGTATCTTGAAAAGAAAACTCTGCAACTCCTCTGATGAAACAAGCTCTACCCCGGGCAAGTTGGCCTTGCTTATGGCCTGGTACTCCTTCACCAATCTCCTGTGGTACGGGTGCATTGGGTAGCAAGTTTGGTTTTGGTTTTGCGCGCTACCGAAAAGTTGATTTCATAAGTACCCTCAGTAGTACAGTTCACTTGCAATTTGCATAGTGCAAGTTCTCTTAGAAAAAAAAAAAAAAGGCTGGTGTAGGAAAGAGTGTATAACACCGTGGTGCAAACTTCAGAGCTTAGAGAATTTGGGTAATTGACCGAGAGTCTCCAGAGTCCTGATGGTATACATCACTTTTAAATAATTGATCCAGACTGATCCTTTTGTAGTGAAATGGATAACCAAGTCTGTCGTCATTAGTAATGCTCTCAGTTACGTCTTTACACAACCAACAAAGACGAGCAACGCAAATCGTGCGAATGTAGTTTTCCTCGCTCTTCCTAGTACCACCCACTACGCACACTACTGACATCTGAGTGTGCTGCATCCAAATGGAGCTTGGGCCTTGTGCGACTCTTTTTTGTTTTTTTATTTTTGCATTTCCCTCCCCCCCCAACTTGAGTTTGCAACTGTCTTGTGTCGCGGTCCACCATTGCCGCTGAGCTTTAGATCTTTGAATGTTTGCGCGAGCCAACAGAGAGGGCCGCTCCCGTAGTGACACAAAACATTTCCGCACTTTTCTGTCGTGCCGTTCATTCAGATGGAACCAAACTTGTATATACAAGAAAAAGAATTTCCTACGATCCAACATACTTTCGAACTTTCGAACGGCAAAGAAATGAAGTTGTTTACAGCTACTGCTGCTGCTGTATTGACTGCAGTTGGTGTTATTGACGCTTTAGCGTTGCAAGAGCCATTTAACTTGGTCCAAGAGGACAGAGAGAATGAATTGTTTTTGAAAGCCTCAAGTTACTTCAACGAACCTTTGGAATCATTGACACAGGAGACAAGAAAGTTGTGGTCAGATTTTGTTTTCAACACTGATACTTTCAAGAGTTTGAGAAAGACAGGTGGCAAAGCTAAAATTACCAAACAAGACTTTGATCACCACGTCAAGGATGAGAAACATCCAAACCATGGGTTAAGAATCAAGGATCCTTCAAACTTGGGACTCGATACAGTTCAGCAATACACTGGGTACTTGGACATTGAGGACGAGGACAAGCATTTCTTTTTCTGGGCTTTTGAGAGTAGAAACGACCCGAAGAATGACCCTGTCATTTTGTGGATGAACGGGGGACCCGGATGCTCGTCCTCCATGGGTCTTTTCTTTGAGTTAGGACCTTCATCCATCAGCAAGGAGATTCAGCCTGTTTACAACCCATATGCTTGGAACAACAATGCTACAGTCATTTTCTTGGATCAACCTGCCAACACTGGATACTCCTACACTTCCAAGCCTGTCTCCGATACTGTTGCAGGTGGTAAAGATGTTTATGCATTCTTGGAGTTGTTCTTCAAGCAATTCCCACAATACGCCAACTTGGATTTCCACATTGCAGCTGAATCTTATGGTGGACACTTTGCTCCAGTATACGCCAGCGAAATTTTGAGCCACCCAGAACGCTCTTTCAACTTGACTTCGGTCTTGATTGGAAACGGGTTGACGGAAACATTGACTCAATACGAATACTTTCAGCCAATGGCCTGTGGAGAAGGTGGCTCTGAAGCAGTTGTCGATCCTCAACAATGTCAGGTCATGGACGCTACAAAGCCGCTTTGCTTGTCGCTCATAAAGCAATGTTACGATACCGAGTCAGTGTGGAGCTGCTTCCCCGCTACAGTCTACTGTAACGAGGCACAAATGGGGCCGTATCAAAGAGCCGGCTACAACTTGTACGACGTCCGATTAAAATGTGATGGATCCCCGTTGTGTTACGAAAGCCTTGAGTATATTGACAAGTATTTGAACAAGCCGGAGGTATTAGACGCAGTTGGAGCTGAAGTTTCTGGCCATGAGTCTTGCGATGCTGGAATTTACGCAAACTTTTTGTATTCAGGTGACTGGATGAAGCCGTATTACAAAAAGGTGGTTGATGTTTTGGAGAAAGGGGTTCCAGTTTTGATCTATGCAGGTGATAAGGATTTCATTTGCAATTGGTTGGGCAATCAAGCTTGGACTGACAGGTTGCAATGGAGTAGCTCAGAGGGCTTTGCCAAAGCGCCAATCAGAAACTGGGAAGTTAATGGTGAGCATGCTGGTAATGTCAAGAATTTCGACAAGTTTACCTTCTTGAGAGTTTTTGGTGCAGGTCATATGGTTCCATACGACAAACCAGAAAACTCCCTCGACATGGTCAATAGATGGATAAACGGTGACTACAAGTTGTAGCTACTTTATAGGCAGGCTCTTTTAATAGAATGTTAGGCTGATCATTACATTATTAGATATACAAATAATACACTTTCACTGTAGTCGCCTTTATTCTCTGTGTACTTATACAAAGTCCATCTTGTTGGAGAGGGTACCAATTTGAGAAATCTCAACTTGTACTTCGTCATTGTTTTGAAGGTACTTTGGTGACGGCTTCATTCCCATGGCAACACCACTTGGAGTACCGGTCATGATGACTGTTCCTTGTTCTAATGTAGTTGATTGGGAAATAAATGCAATAATCTTTGGGATATTGAATAACAAATCATTGGTACCAGTATCTTGGCGGACTTTGCCATTGACCCTGGTGGTCAAATGTAATGCAGCTGGGTTGGGAATGACTTGTGTAGAGACCAACTGAGGACCCAATGGAGCGTATTTGTCAAATGACTTGGAAAAACACCATTGGGGAACACCACCAGCGTATTTGGGGTCCTTCTGCCAAGTTCTGGCAGAAACATCATTACCAGAAACGTAACCACCAACATAGCTCAAAGCGTCTTCTTCTTTGATGTCCTTACCGGTTTTGCCAATGACAACACACAACTCACCCTCATAATCACACTGATTTTCTTGAGCAATTTTGGGAATTGGAATTGGCTCGCCAAAGTCAGCAACAGCAAACCTTGGCTTGTAGAAAATGGATGGGAATGGCGGTGGGGTTCTGCCACCCTCTTGAATGTGCTTCATGTAGTTTAAGCCAACACACTTGATGATGGGGACTTCATCTTGAGTCAATGGACCCAACAATTGCTTCACCTCCAACACTTCATCTGTAACAACAGCATCCTCAAAAATGTTTTCACCTTTGATGACCCTGGCTTTGATGGTCTTGCCGTCTAAGAATTGCTCACCAACGTCGTATTCAGTGTCAGTGACAATTGGCTCACCTTTGTATATCTTGCCATCGTTGGCAACAAATCTAATCAATCTCTTCCAAGCAGTCATTGTTGTGTGGGGTTGAGAAGGAGGAGGTGACAGGGAATTCAACCCTCCTTTTATAAGCCTTTGTCAAGGAAACTATGCCATGGTTTCTTTGATTCGTATCGGAAGCAATTCCGTTCCCCACTTGCACAACTCAAGCATCCCACGTCTCTTTCCTCTCGGAATGTTTGACCGAAGAAAAAGAAAAAAAAAAAAAAAAAAAAGGACTCCTCATTGACGGATGAGGGATCCATTGCAGCACACAGTCTCCACTGTGCGGAACCCCATGCCGCAGCATGATGAGCTTATATAAACATACAATGCGTCCTCCAGCAATTGCATAACACCTACTACTCACCACTCACCATGCCGTCCACCTCCCACGAAAAAGTTGAATTTTTGAAAAGTTTGAAACCAGAAAATGTTGAACCGTTATGGACAGTTATGTCTGCTATGGTCCCGCCTGTCCCCATGCCAAAAGCAGTCCCCACTGTTTGGGACTACAAGAAGTTGAGGCCTTTGTTGGTTGAGTCTGGTCGTTTGGTGCCTGCTGAGGAATCTGAGAGAAGAGTGTTGATGTTGATCAATCCAGCCTTGAAAGCTCCACAAACGACTGATACTTTGTATGCCGGTTTGCAATACATCAACACAGGGGAAGTTGCGCCCGCTCATAGACATTCAGCTTTTGCATTGAGATTCATTATTGAGGGTGAAGGTGGTTACACTGCGGTGGAAGGTCAAAGAATCTACATGAACAGAGGCGATGTCATATTGACTCCAAGATGGGAGTGGCATGACCATGGAAAGGAAGGTGATGGGCCAATGATTTGGTTAGATGGTCTTGACTTGCCATTGTTTCAAGCTATTCCAGTCAACTTTGCTGAGCATTATCACGATGATTGTTATCCAGCCGAGACAGTTGCTGAATCTAATATCAAGTTTCCATGGAAGGCCACTCAAGAGCACCTTGATTCTGTCAAAGATGATTATGCTGTTTTCAACTACACTCGCGAAAGTGGAGCCCCATTGTCAAGTATTCTCACCGCTCAAGCTGAAAGGGTCAATGCTGGAAAGTCAAGCGAATGGCGTCAGGAGAACTCCTCGTTTGTTTACCATGTGTATGAAGGTACTGGTTACACTGTCATCAAGGAAGACAATGGGGAGGACACAGTGTTGAAATGGGATGGCAAGGATACGTTTTGTGTTCCCGCTTGGAAGAAGTTTAAACTTGTCAATGGTGGTGCTGAAAGTGCCTACCTTTTCTCCTTCAATGACTCTCCATTACTCAAGAGCTTGGAGATTCACAGAGCAAAACAAGCGTAGAGTATTTGTATATGAATTGATTGTTGTGAAATAATATATTGTAGGGTTCTACTGCGAGTTGGATCTCACCACAGCAAATACCCTGGTGCAGATCTTCATCAACTAGGTTGTCTCCTCTGTAGTATCTCCTTTCCAACACATGCCACTACAACGCAAGTCAAAAATCTAGTACATTCACTACCAGAGCCATATGTACTTATTTTACACGTCTAACACCAACAATGTGAGCAAATGCAGTTGGCGCCCACGCAAACAACACAACAAGACCACACATCAAGCCAGCAGACCCAGCAAAGTTGAGGTTTTCAAACATATGCGGAAAGTAGAAGGGCCCAATGAAACCGTAAATGGATCTGACAAAGTTGATGTATAAGCCGACGTCACCTGCCTTTCGAGGTGCACTATCGATGGCAAATGTGGTGATGACTGTTGCCACGATATTGTTTCCAGCAGCAGCAATAGCGGCTCCAATCAACGGTTTAATAGACCAATGGCCGGGAGTGGCTTTGAACAAGTAGATACCCCAAACAATCAAGCCAACAATGACCAAGATATAGCCGTTGTAGCAGACCCATAACCTGTCAACAATGACTCTTTGACCATTCCTCTTGGCAGTACTTTTCTTCATCCACCAATCAGAGAGCGGACCAGCAAGAATCTCGCCAATGATGGAGCCAATAATAATGGAGATGTACTGTAACGACATTTGCTGAGCATTAAGGTGGAATAGTGGGACCATGACTTGTGGCATTTCGACAACCAACACAATGTTTGCATAACAGAAAGTGACTGAAGCAGCAATGACGGCAATGGAGATATTGAAGTTGGCTGCTTGTTTCAATGGTCCAAAGAACATTTTCCAGGAAAAGGGTCTCGCAATGGATCTCCTAATGCCCATGGCTTTGAGCACACCATTGGAAACGACATCTGGAACAGCTCTGGTGTAAACAGTCTCTGATGCAAAGATCCACAAAACAAACTGGACAAAGTTCATGATGGCAAACGTAAAGAAAATCCACTTGGTTCCAGCATGTTGTTGAATGAACCCAGTAATGAACGGACCACCCGGAGTACCAATAACAAAGCCCAACGACCACCAACCATTTTTCTCGCCTCGTTCATGGGAGAATGCCAAGTCGCCAACAACTGATGAACCGGCAGCAGTAACAGTGGACACAAAAACACCAACAAGAACTCTGGTGGCCATTTGTTGACCATACGTAGTTGCAAACCCACCGCCAACATTCAAAACACAACAAGCCAAGGCACCAAATGTAAGAAAGAACTTTCTGCCAAAAGTGTTCATCAAAGGGACCCAAAACAATGGCAACACGCCGAAAACAGCAATTTGAGCAGAGGTAAAGTACGCCGCAGTTGGGAGATCAACTCCGTATTCCTCAGCCATGGTTTCAAACGCAGGAGTCAATCCTGCAGCCATAAAGGTCGATGAGAAAGCTCCAACGGCAATAAGCATTATCTCGTAATTCTTTTTCCAAGTGGGCCAGTTAAGTGGATCTTTAGGGTCAGAAGAGGGCAATGGATCTAACTGAACCGAGCCGTGTCTCTCCATAAGATAGGCATAATGTTTGGAAGTGATGTGAGATGCATCTTCGACTTGTTCAATTTCGTGACCTTTTTCGATATCTGATTCAATGGACATTGGTGTGTTTGATGTTGTGACATGAGTGCAATGTCAATAAGCAGCATGGCGACTATTTATACATCGTCGTGGGGTATGGATGTTGGCCTCACCCTTGATATCTCTCCACGTTCGTTGTACTTCTTTTCATCATCAGCTTTCCCCACTCAATAGTCACATCGTCGGAAGGAGTGGCCGTGGCCGTGGCCGTTGAAGAAAAAGAAATTTCACGCAAAAAACAAAAAAAAGGAGTTCGAGTTTTTACAACAACGATTATCTGGAGACCAGTGCGCAGAGGTGTTTTATTCCCCACTGACATGATCTCCACAACTAGATCAATGGTGAAAATGGAAACATCATTGACGATGCAGAACCATGAGACTATTAAGCGTCAAAGGACCTTCTTGGAATAAGCTTGCCTGAAGAGCTCCTTAGATCTCGGATACCAATCCGCCTCGTAAAGTTTATTTTACGGTCCATCCATCCCTGCATTGTCGAGAGAGCTTTTTGTGTTGAATATTATTCGGAGTAAGGGTCCGAGTTTCTTCCCCACTTTCCACAGATTGATGGACGGAATACATCCCGATACAATG